GTTCGCCAAGCAGTAACTAGGTACTTGGATGTTAGTCACATTACACCTCCTGCCCCTGTTCACCAAGCAGTAAGTAGGTACCTGGGTGCTAGTCACCTTACACTTGCTGCCCCTGTTCACCTAGTAGTAAGTAGGTACCTGGGTGCTAGTCACCTTATACTTGCTGCCCCTGTTCACCTAGTAGTAAGTAGATACCTGGGTGTTAGTCACCTTACACTTGCTGCCCCTGGTCACCTAGTAGTAAGTAGGTACCTGGGTGCTAGTCACCTTACACTTGCTGCCCCTGTTCACCTAGTAGTAAGTAGGTACCTGGGTGCCAGTCACCTTACACTTGCTGCTCCTGTTAACCTAGCAGTAAGTAGGTACCTGGGTGCTAGTCACATTACACTTATTGCCCCTGTTCACCTAGCAGTAAGTACGTACTTGGGTGTTAGTCACCTTATAGCTGCTGCCCCTGTTCGCCAAAAAGTAACTAGGTACCTGGATGTTAGTCACCTTACACCTGCCGCCCCTGTTCACTAAGCAGTAACCAGGTACTTGGATATTAGTCACTTTACACCTGCTGCCCCTGTTCACCTAGCAGTAAATAGGTATCTGGGTGCTAGTCACCTTACACCTGCTGTCCATGTTTACCTAGCAGTAAGTAGGTATCTGGGTGTTAGTCGACTGTTGTGGGTGACATCCCAGGGGGTGGTGGTATATCGTAGAGAGAACTGGGCTTTGAAATGAGCCGAGGTAGGATAACAACTCTTAGCCTGTAAATTCAACTGTTAAAATAAATGGTATTAGTGCGTGAAAATGTTGCTAGTGAGTGGAAGAGGTGGTTTTGGGCGTAAATGGGTGGAAGACGGTGTTAGTGGGTGAAAGGGGATGCTTTTGGGCGTACGATGATGTAAATGGGTGGAAGATGGTGTTATATGATGTAAGAGTTTTGAAGTTGGTGTAATGGATGGAATATGGTGTAAGGGTGGAAAATGCTCTTAATGGGTGAAAAAATTCTGTTAATGAGTGAAATATGGTGTTAGTGGGTGGGAAATGGTAGTAGTGGGTGGAAGATAGCGTTAATGGAGTGGAAGATGGTGCTAGCGGGTGGAAAACGTTAGCGGGTGAAATATGGCGTCAGTGCATGGAAGATGGTGTTAGTGGGTGGAAGATAGTGTTAGTGGGTGGAAGACGGTGTTAGTGGGTGGAAGATGATGTTAATGGGTGGAAGATGGTCCTAGAGTTCAAGCATGGTGCTAGATGATGTCAGAGTGGAAAAAATAAATGTAGATAAGGTTCAATGGCACTAGATGGTGAAAGACAGTGTTTGATATAATAATAATAATAATAATAATAATAATAATACTTTATTTCTACAAGTACATGTACAAGGTATACAGGTCTAGCTGACATCAATGACATACTACTATAGAGAAAGCCGCTTGCTATGCTGAGCATTTCGGGCAAATTAGGTCAGTTTTGTCCCAGGATGCAACCCACACCAGTCGACTAACACCCAGGTACCCATGAGTGAACAGGGACAGCAGGTGTCTTACGGAAACACGTCCCTATTGTTTCTCAGCCGTACCGGAGATTCGAACTCCGGGCCTCAGTGTGTGAGCGGAGTGCGCTAGCGATCGAGCTACGGGACGATGGTGTACGATGGTGCTACATAATGTCAAAGGACGGAAAATGATTACTATGGAAATTTCACATGAAAATGGAGAGATTACTAAGAAATTTAACATGATTATGAAGTATTACTCATGATTGTTTACATGATGATGGAGGGATAACTCAAGAAATTTAACATGATGATGGAGGGATAACTCAAGAAATTTAACATGATGATGGAGGGATAACTCGAGGAATTTTAACATGATAATGGAGGGATACTCAAGAAATATTAACATGATGATGGAAGGATTTCTCAACAAATTCAATAATGATAATAAGAAGAGTAACTCGAGAAATTTAAGGATTCACTTAAAAGAGCCAACCCAAAAAAAGGCATAAGTTATTTTTGTCAAGGGCTTTTAATTTAACAGTTGAAATTTTTTCTAAAAGTGAAAACAAATATGCGAACGGACGTTAGAATATGACATATATATATGTATACATAAAGAATAAATAGTACAATATCGTGACTGGAACAATACACTGATAACCCGCACATAGAAGAATGACACTTATGACGACGTTTCGGTCTGACTTGGATTATTGACTAATCACCATTAACTAGTGACTCGTTTATGGTCCAAGTCGGACCGAACGTCGTCTTAAGTTTCTTTCTCCCATGTGCGGGTTATTTGTGTAGTGTATATATGCATTACGAGAGAGAGAGAGAGAGAGAGAGCAACACTTCATCTTAGATCTGTTTATGAAACTCGATTATTACCATCGAGGGAAATCGCTAAAGCGGTAAGGGTCATATAGTTTCTGGGGGAATGAGACGTAATCTCTGATCAAAGAGAGGAGCAGCTCTGATTCCTCAGATCTAGATCCCTTCACCAATATCCACGCACCTTTCTTGAAGAGAACACATCTTCAAACAAGGATATCTAAACCTACATTGAGGAAGCGACCACCATCTCTGCCACAAACTATGACACACGAGAAAAATACAAATATGAACAAGATGAGTTGGATGATAGAAGACTCACACGAGCACAACTACATCAATATTCCAACAGAGAAACTGGATGGAATATATATATATATATATATATATATATATATATATATATATATATATATATATATATATATATATATATATATATATATATATATATATATATATATACACATAGAATGCAGCTAACCTTTTGATTACTAGTCTAAGGCTCAGACAACGACACCACGGGAAAGGAAGAATGATGTGGCCATATCCAATCATAATTTTTTTTACCTAATTAGGATGGTATCAGTTATAATGTGGCTTAATTTCATTGTGGACCTTAAGCTCTCATCAAGGAGACGATCCACAACAATCGACTAACTCCAAACCATTTATTTACTCCCATGTGAATAGGGGGAGCAGGTGTTAGTTAGCTTGCACATACGTCTCGTCTCGCCTAGGATTGAAACCGTGTCCTTCGGCCATAAGCCAAACGCGCTAACATTGTGCTACGAGCCACTTACAAAAAAAAAAAAAAAAAAAAAAAGAGGAACGGTCGCTTAAGCTTCATTTACTTAGACTAAAAAGTCTTCCAATAGAATTCCCACGAATGGGTGTGATTTGGAAGCTACGAAAACTGTTACAATGGAAAAGAACTTTTGTTAGAAAGAAAACTGTGAGTGATGATAATGGGAAAAACTGGCTGAACCAGACAAGGATCAGCGCGCCTCTGATTATCTTCTTAATTAATACAAATATATTGTCATAAGGAGCAAATTACTATGTGAATATGTTTACAGATGATGCCAGGAAATTATGCAAAGTAAGAAAATTACTAAAACTCATACTGAAGATTTAGGAAAATTGAGGAAATGAAGTACTAAATAGGTGATTAAATTTAATGTAGATAAATGTTATGTAATGTAAATGACAAGAGGCAGGAATATGCCCCAGGAGGAATATAATTTTTGAGACAGACTTTTCCGAACATCTAATGAGAAGGTACTTGGGTTGAATATTAAAATTTACACCGACAACTATTTACATTCAACAATGAGAGAGTCTTAAGTAATTCTGGCGAACTTTTGTTTTGTTAGATTTTCATTATATGGAGGAAAATTGTATTAAGAGGCTGTAATGTGGTGCTTGTACCTCGAGTAACACACGAGGCGCAGCCAGCTTTAAGACCGACTTAAAAATATATATGCAAAAAGTATAACGACATATATTTTTTCATAATTTATAGTGTTATATTGATTTTTTTACTAACGTTCGTCTGGGTATGCCGCCCTCTACTACAAGCAGCACCTCATAGACAAAAACTTGTATTTTTTTATTATTCACAGGAAGATTTAACCCATATGGACCACTGATGGGTAGTAAAGGCTCGATCATGTGTATGCTTAATATGAGACAGGCGCATTACAATTCAGTACATATAATTCTCAACTGATAACAGTTCCATAGACATGCAGGAGACTGAATTCTTGAATCTAAAAAGATGAACTACGACCAATGACTGAAGAATTTATACAACAATGATAATAATAATAATAATCAAATATAAAGTCATAAAACAGGCAAGAGAACAAATAAGAGATTTCTGGAATCACCAGTAAGGGAAACAATCAGTTTTTGGAACCAGGAATAGGGAGAACAGTCAGTTACTATTTTTGGAATCACCAATATTGAATGCAATGGGCCAAAATATTTTGAATCGACGATAGGGAGAACAATAGACTTCAGTTTCCTAGTACAAAAAAACACGGGAAAGAAAAGAAATGGGATGTATACCTTCACAGAACTCGATGTAAATCTTTGCAAACAGAGTTAAGAAGTTTAGCCCAACAATGCTAGAAGAGAAGATTAGGGGGAGACATGATAATGACATAAAATACTCAGTTTATTCAAGAGAGTAGAGACAGGAGTAGGTTTAGTTGCGAAGAAGGACGATGAGTCAATATATGTGGTAGCTACAAGACGAAGGTGACCCATAGGGAAATTTGAAGTACTAAATTTCAGAATATTGACTAACTGCGATAAGCTATACGAAGTAGTACAGGTAAACACCTTACACACCTTCAAGAGTAGGTATGATTACATCCAGGAGGAGAAACATGAGTAAAAGTGGCTGATAAGAGTTAAGTGGTGGGGTCAGAAGTTATGAATCAACCCTTTAACACACAATAAAGGCAAACACACACACACACACGCATGTGCGCGCACACCCACGCACACCCACACCCCACACACAACACACACACACACACACACACACACACACACACACACACACACACACACACACACACACACACACACACACACACATGCCTATACGTAAATAGCAGAAATATACGTACGGGCTTGCAACCATGTAAAGGATACAAAAACAGTCAAGTAGTAAAGGAAAAGGGCAAAAAAGACCTCATAAATACGTAAATATTAAAACATTCTTGGATATAATACGATAAACGAAACAAAGACACTTCAGCAACACATGACTCTTGGCTAATATGAATATTTGACTTAAAAATGGTTTATTCACTTACTTTCTTGTGGCAGTGCGCGAAGTTTTGTAATATTTCATCCTAATACCAGGGAAAAAACTTAGTGATATTATCAAACATAACAGAGATGGTGAAAATCTGAAGACACTGATATAATCTGAGTAAAGGAACAAGCAGAGTGTTGCATCGACAGGTGTGTGTTAGAAAAGTGTTGTAAGCTAAGTGGCCGTAGTGAAGCAACTCTTCAAGATTGACACTTAACTCCTTGGAAGGAGTCTGGAAGATGGACACCCCACTGGGCTTCACACTCCTCACCCTCCTGTTGCTGACGCCTCAAGGTAAGTTCAATACAAGCAGACATTCTCGCACAACAAGGAAGAATTACGTCTCATACGCCTCCCACAAGATACAGCAGTGCGTATGTAGGTTACTTAACGCCATGGCAGCGGAGGTGCGCTGTTTCACGTTGGTGACCTTACATTTAATTACATTCTTCTTGAGTATGAACATACAGAGTTTCGGTGTTACGCCGCAGAAAACCAATTTGTGAACTCCCCAGTGTCTGCTCTCCACTTTGTGCCTGGACCAGGAATTCCCACCTCGTTTGTCTTTTTTTATTTTTTGACTGCCTGGGGCACGGTTTTTTAGACGTCGTGCCAGAAAATACTGCATATTTATACAGTGTGACTGTTGCTGGAAATATTACAGCGTTGTATGCATAGTACTGGAACACAGAAAAACATGCGCCGCTCACCACAGCTTTAATATTGAAATCTACTTCCTCAAGAGAATAAATGTTTAATTTATTTTTTTTTCTTTGCCAAATCTAAATAAACTTAAATTCTAGTTTACTTGTTGCTGCAGTTCATAACATTCGTCTGTGATATCATTCCACACTGAAGTTACACTTCATTTTTTTTTTGTATAAATTATATATATATATTATATAATATATTAATATATATATAATATATATATATATATATATTATATATATATATATATTATATATATATATATATATATAATATTAATATATATATATATTAAAATATGGGAGGTACCACCTCTAGAACTGTTATAGGGACCCTCATCCTCAGAGAAAAGAATAAACTTGCTTCAGGGAAAACTCAAGATTCTCCCTGAAGCTGTTTGAGAATTTTCTCAAATATATATATATATATATATATATATATATATATATATATATATATATATATATATATATATATATATATATATATATAGGCAGGGTGACCCAAAAAGAAAAACTCAAAAGAAAGAAAAAACTTTCATCATCATTCAACACTCACCATCACTCATACATAATCACTGTCTTTGCAGAGGTGCTCAGATACACAACAGTTTAAACGTCCCTCCAAACTGCCAATATCCTAAACCCCCCTTCCCATTTCCAGGACTCAAGTCCTGCTAACCGATTTCCCTGAATCCCTTCACAAAATATTACCCTGCTCACACTCCAGCAGCTCGTCAAGTCCCAAAAACTATTCGTCTCCATTCATTCCAATCAAACATGCTCATGTACGCTTGCTGGAAGTCAAAGCCCCTCGCCCACAAAACTTCCTTTACTTCCTCCCTCCAACCTTTTCGGGGACGACCCCTTCTCCGCCTTCCTTCTCCAATTGATTCATACGCTCTCTAAGTCATTTTATATATATTTATATATATATATATATATATATATATATATATATATATATATATATATATATATATATATATATATATATATATATATATTGGTGAGTTTATCATACATACCAACCCGCCACTGTATTGGGTGTAGGTACCTGCTGAATGCCTCCTGGGCTATGTGTCTGCCAAACTTTTCTTAACTCGCTGGTACAAGTAAAGAAAAAAGTAGCATGCATTATTTTTCTTTATACACCAAATAACGAAAAAAACGAACATTTTATGCAAAAACTCATCAGCTGCGAGAAGCTTGCACCAAGATGATAATTAGGATCATTAAAAAGCAACTTTAATACGAGAGAGGGGAGATAGAGGCAGCAGGAGAGGCAGAGTAATCCAAGTCCAATGTTGCTGGCATTGGATTCTTCCTCACTGCCGCTGGTGAATGGCCTCCCGCCCAGAGAGCAAATAAAAAGCATTAAGAAAAAAGGCGTTTGGTTTTTGTCTCTTGTATAGTGTATCCTCTGTGAACCACTCTCTTATTGAACATCTACATGGGATGTGCTGATGGAGGAGGGAGAGAGAGAGACAGGCAGACAGAGGGGAGGGAGGGAGGAGGGAGGGAGGGAAGGAGGGAGGGAGGGAGTAGGAGGGGGGGAGGAGGGAGTGAGGGGAGGAAGGAGGAGGGAGGAGGGAAGGAGAGGGAGGGAAGGAGGGGGGAGGGAGGGAGGGGAGGGAGGGAGGGAGGGAGGAGGGAGGAGGGAGGGAGGAGAGAGGGAGAGAGGAGGAGGAGGAGGGAGGGAGAGAGAGAGAGAGAGAGAGAGAGAGAGAGAGAGAGAGAGAGAGAGAGAGAGAGAGAGAGAGAGAGAGAGAGAGAGAGAGAGAGAGAGACAGACAGACAGACAGACAGACAGACAGAGACAGAGAGAGACAGAGACAGACAGAGAGACAGACAGACAGACAGAGATTGAGAAACTCAGAGGAAGAAAGAGAGGGAGATTTAGATATATCGTCAAGACAAGAAAGAGCAACATACTCTACGCAAGACGTGGGCCTCAACTCCTTACCTTGGGCATCAGGGTACAATAACTCCTCAATAACAATAACCAGGGCAGCACTACCCAACAGAACTAGGCGGGCGCCTAGGATGACAACATTACAAAATAGTTAGACGACGTATTTATTGTGTTGTTCCCAACTTCATCGTTCCTCTTTCAGCTTCACTTCACAACCATGGGAAGCAGTTCACTTGACGGAGTGAAGGGCTTAGTAGGGACTGGCGAAGCTTTAGGTAGAAAGGTCGGGATTTAAAGAAGGAAGGAGCTAGTTCTCATTTTGAAATTTTTTTTTTAAGAAGATTAAAAGGATCACTTGTTTGAGGTAGAATCCATCACGAAACCCTTGCGTAGCCTACAAGAGGCTAACCGCCTAGCATGTTACCCTGTAGTCACAATATTAATTTATGTCAGGAAATTGGCATGTAGTGGGTGGCTAGTAGCTGACAAACCACGAAGGTGAAACATTGTGACAGCGCGACTCGTTTCATTAAACGACATTTTGTCATTCTTAAGGCGAAACTTTGTGTAATAAAAAGGCTAGTTCCGCTAAATTTGTTTCGCATTCCTAGTAAATTGGGTATGGGGTAAAAGAAGAGGGCTCAAAAATATTCGCCTTGATTGGCAAATACCCTTGTACCGCTGCTGCCGGAGACAAAGAGCCAGGTGACCTACCACTCACGCCGAACATACTATCTTTAAAATTACACACTAAAAAAAATATGGTTCCTCTTTCAGTCGCAAAATCAAGCGTGATTCCACGAAAGATTTCACAGAAGAAATCACTCTTGGAAGGCATCTTTGCATTATAAATATTCAGCATTTTGTCAGAAAGTCAAGCAGATTTATTCTCGTGTTTGTACGTTCTTAGACTGTGCACATTTATTTAAAATACCTGAGGGAAATTCTCGAGAAGATAGTTACAGCAAAAATTGGTTCGTAAGCAAAGATTCATGAACGCTCCGCAACACGTTGAAAAAAGTTACAGTGTATACAAATGCAAGCAATTACATACACGTCTCTGCTAACACAAATACATGTATGCAACTTAATAAACACTACTCTCATCTAGTTCTCCTCCCTCCCCACCATCAGCTACCCCCTCCCCACCATATACTACCCCCTCCCCCACACACACTAGATAAAGACAGACTGTTCAGCGAGAGAGGAACCAGAACGAGGGGGCACAGATGGAAATTCAATACCCAGATGGCTGGCAGAGGCATTAGGAAACAATTTTATGGAGTCACAGTATAGATGCGTAACAGACTAGGTCACCAGAGTGACACAGCAGAAGCTGAAACAATCCACAGCTTTAACTTAATGTACAATATATTAATAATGTTGAGAGGTGGGTTCAAGAGCTGAGTCTCAACACCTGTAAACTAAGCTAGGCAACAACTAGATAACAAATAAGCAACAGCAAGGTAACTAAGTAACAACATTACAATTAAGTAATAGCTAAAACAGTGTAACAACTACAAAAGTAACAAGTAACAACTGCAAGAAAGTAACAACTAGGTAAAAAAAACTACAGCAATGTAACAACTAGGTAGAACAAGGTAACAACTAAGTAACAACAATGTAACAGCTATACAACAATAAAGTAACAACTATTGTGATGTATTGGTCTGCCCTCACGCACTCGACATGCAGGTAACAGAGTAACTCAATCTCCCGTTATCTGCGGGACTAATGAAGCCAGGGACCACGTGTGGGACTAATGAAGCCAGGGACCACGTGTGGGACTAATGAAGTCAGGGACCACGTGTGGGACTAATGAAGCCAGGGACCACGTGTAGGACTGATGAAGGCAGGGTCCACGTGTAGGACTTGAAGCCTGGGACCATGTGTGGGACTGATGAAGTCAGGGACCATGTGTGGGACTGATGAAGCCAGGGACCATGTGTGGGACTGATGAAGCCAGGGACCACGTGTGGGACTGATGAAGCCAGGGACCACGTGTAGGACTGATGAAGGCAGGGTCCACGTGTAGGACTTGAAGCCTGGGACCATGTGTGGGACTGATGAAGCCAGGGACCATGTGTGGGACTGATGAAGCCAGGGACCACGTGTGGGACTGATGAAGCCAGGGACCACGTGTGGGACTGATGAAGCCAGAGACCATGTGTGGGACTGATGAAGCCAGGGACCACGTGTGGGACTGATGAAGCCAGGGACCATGTGTGGGACTGATGAGGCCAGAGACCATGTGTGGGACTGATGAAGCCAGGGACCACGTGTGGGACTGATGAAGCCAGGGACCACGTGTGGGACTGATGAAGCCAGGGACCACGTGTGGGACTGGGTGAAGCCAGGGACCACGTGTGGGACTGATGAAGCCAGGGACCACGTGTGGGACTGATGAAGCCAGGGACCACGTGTGGGACTGATGAAGCCAGGGACCACGTGTAGGACTGATGAAGGCAGGGTCCACGTGTAGGACTTGAAGCCTGGGACCATGTGTGGGACTGATGAAGCCAGGGACCATGTGTGGGACTGATGAAGCCAGGGACCACGTGTGGGACTGATGAAGCCAGGGACCACGTGTGGGACTGATGAAGCCAGAGACCATGTGTGGGACTGATGAAGCCAGGGACCACGTGTGGGACTGATGAAGCCAGGGACCA